ACGGTCACATCGCGTTCAAACACCAGTTCTCGTACGATCATCGAAGTTAAGCAACCTCGAGCCTGGTCAGTATCTAGATGGATGACCACTTGGGAATGCCAGGTGCTGTAAACTTGGGTGTGTGGGTTGTATGGCTTACGGCCATACCACTATGGAACATCGGTTTTCGTGCGATCACCGAAGTTAAGCAACCTCGAGCCTAGTCAGCACCTAAATGGGTGACCGCTTGGGAGGGTGCTGTAATGGATATTGGCTCGGAATTGATAATCAGAGAACCGAGTTCCAATTCCGGTTGGATTCGTTATATTCACTTACGAGCAGATGCCATCAGGAAAGGTATAAATCTACCTATTCCCCCCAGCTATGGGTTAATTACTAATACTAGGATCACCAAACCATTATTATCCCCCAAAATATTTCAACCTAAAAATATTTTCTGGCTTTAAGTAATCAGCAAAGGGTTGATAAACGAAGCAATCAATCAATCAATCGAAATTTATTAAAACTAAAGAATTAATAAATTTATTTAAAAACCGGCATTTTTAATACTTCAAGCGTTATTAGAGTGGATACTCGTATTGGAAACCGATGTTTGTAACATGTTGTATCCACGGTGATAACGCTTGAAGTAATAAAAATGTAGGTTTAGAAATAAATCCATTAATTCTTTAGAAATTGCTTTGTTTACGTTTCGGATGCGAAACTAAACAGATATGAAGCAGCGAGAAAATAATCTGAGTGAAGAGGATGTTCTTTCCTTAAAAGGGAAATATAAAACTTTCATTTCTAAAGTACGCCGGACCATAGATAGATTCTCCCACAAAGGTTAAAGTAGGTTCGATCTCTGAGGGGGGAAATTTAACGATGGATGTAATAGACACCGTTTAATAAAAAAAAAATATAACGTCTATTTCATAGATACATCGATTTAACTAAACTCTGTCTGTCTGTCTATCTGCATTTATATATATATATATATATATATATATATATATATATATATATATATATATATATATATATATATATATATATATATATATATATATATGTCTGTATGAAGGCGTTGGTTAGAGCCAGTGACAGGACACAAAGAGTTGTGAGTTCAATACCTGATTAAGGCAGTGGGGAACTTGGAGAGGTGAATTAAGCAGGAGATAACTGATAACTGACATCCATCAGACATGTGACGTGGAACTAGAAGAGTCTAACCCAGCGTGCGAAATAAAGGGTTCAGTTCGACATTCCAGTGATATGAAGAAGGCGTACAACGGCCGAAACGTTGTGATAAATATGTCCACAAAGATGAGGACAATAGTCCGAATAATGCAAATAGTATATATATGTTCTAAATTATTCCACACCTGCAATCCCTCGTGTCTTCGTGACTTTACTGCCCTGCATGGGGTGATACCGATTATATATATATATATATATATATATATATATATATATATATATATATATATATGTATATAATAAGAATAATTATATTTTTGTTCTTCACCGTACGATGCTACTCAAAGTTATATGCATATAGCAATTGGCCGGCAAAAATTCAGGCTTGAGGATTGTCGGCACCCGCTCGCATTCATGCATTTGGATCGTCATCCTCTCTTCACTTTCTCTCCCCTAGTGGCGGTGGCGGTGGCGGAGATGGCTGAGAGTCAAAGAGAGTCTGACAAGGTGATTCGCGTGGATTTGGTTTTTGTGGACAACTCCGTACGATGGAGATGTCCAATCACTTGACCAGAAGCACCCCCATCCTCACGGCTCAGTGGTGATTGAGACAGGCGAGATCTAAAAACCTGATTGCCTCGGGCTACCGGATGCTTGATCTGTCAAGGACCACCTTGATTACGTTAGCCCGATTGGCGCAGTCCTCTTCCGCCGTTGAGATCGTATAGATTTTTGCCTATTTCCCTGTTGCAGTCTTCGGGTATTAGTCGCATTCAGTCTGGTCCTTCCTCTTCGACCTTACCTCCATGGATTACCCGACAGGAGGTGGAACTCCAGACGGATCCACTCTTGAGATCACTGGGACCAGTAATTCCTCTATCATGACAAGGAACGGCCATATATATTTTACATTGGATGTCGGCGTAAACAGGACGTTATCAAATATACCACTTTGACTCATTATTACTTTAATGACAATAATACAATGGAATCAATAAATAAGAAAAGAAGAAAAATAAAAGTATAATATTATTTATTATTATTGTTGTTGCTAAAAAATAAATATTTGAGAGATAAATAATAAAGGAAGAAATTCGTGACTGAAGAAAAAAAGAAAAAAACATTACGACTCGTAACGCTTTTCTTACAAATTTGAAAATACGTTCTCGTTCATAAAAATGTTACGTTACTACAATCAATAAACAAGAACAATATAACAGAATAACATTAGGGCAAATGTTAAAAATGTTTGAATGATAAATGATAGGAAAAGAAATCGGCGATACTGAACCAATAGTCAATAATAAACAAAACAAACATTACAATTCGAAATGCATTTCCTAAAATTTTGAGAAATGTTACACTTAAATATAAATACAGAATTATTCATGCTTGTGTATGAGTAATTTAACAAATGCAATGCATTAAATGTTCCTAATATAATAATTCCTAGTGAAAATCGACATTATTAATAAGGTAAACTTGCTAAAACAAAAATTAAAAATAAGAAATGGATGTTAATATTGACTTAAAAATTTGTATTTAAATAATTTAAATGCATAATAATATAACAAAATTATAATAAATAAAGAAAAAAAAGAATAAAATAAATAATTAAAAAAGACTTCTTTTTTTTTTTAAATACGACATTGCTTTCTGGGCAATGGAAAACACCACGTCTGTATACACCGACATCGACAGAGAGATATATGCATGGCATTATATATATATATATATATATATATATATATATATATATATATATATATATATATACATGTATGTATGCATGATAAAATGAATTTTTAAGGTATGCTATATATATGGGTAAAGGTACACAATTTCCGTGACAGAACGTGTGCAGCTATAAGAACAGTCAAGAATTTATTCTATAAAACGCAAGGATTTCCAGAATGAATATATTGGAATAACCCCAAAAAGTTTAAACAAAAGTATATAATAACAAAAACAGTCACTTTAAAAAACAACACACAAAACACATTGGTTTTTCAACGTAACGAAACTAACTACATTTTCGAAATAAAAAAATTATACTCTAATTTAAAGAGAAAATAATTCACTAAGACAAAATTCACTAAGATGAGTTGGATCTTTTCTAATTGATCTCTTTAGCTCTAAGTTGAAATGATGACCCCCACTCTTCCTGTTGTGACCTCCTCATCCAGTTTTCCTCTCTACTCTTCACTTTCTTTAAGACTTACTCACCATTCTCTTGATTGTTTTTGAAAGGATGTAGCCAGAGTATGAATGTTGTTACCATTAGTGAATGCCTGAATGATCTTTTTGCTCTCACCATTGCTCATTTGGGAAGACTGTGGGGCTGACACAAAACGATTTTAACCTGTTCTCTTTCTAGCTGAATAACTCAAAGGTTTTTTTTCAGAGATTCTTACGACAAATGGTGTCAAGATGGCTGAACGTCTTATCTAAAAACCTGGAAAAAAGAAAGACAGTATTTGTTTTAGATATTAAACATTTTGTAGGATGGACAATTATGCTGTTACATGATTTGGACAATTTTGTTGTTACACTCGGTATATATATATATATATATATATATATATATATATATGTATGTATGTATGTATGTATGTATCGTGCACTCTCCCGTCGCATTCAACGTATGGGGGTCAAGCGGCTCAGTTTCTAGGAAGTGACAGCCAGACATCAGCACATATGATTTGATTATAGGGATGACGGTTTTGTGCACAACCAACCACACCCTTTGAAGAGGCGGATATAGAGACCTGGTGCACCGTGTCCCCAAACGACTCTCCTTAGGGTTATCCTTCTCCTAGACCAGTTGACATCCAAGGCTATAGAACATAGTCTGTCTTGCTATTTCCCATAACTGGGATATATATATATATATATATATATATATATATATATATATATATATATATATATGAAAACAATTCGAACGAAAATTATTTTTCTCATACTGCCGGTCAATGTAGAGGTTTTTCAAAAATATTTTATATATTTACGACGTCGTATATATGCGTCGTCTATTTGTGCGTGTGTGTGTGTGTGTTTTAATATAGCAAGGTTGCACATATGCATCCCTGACCCATATCTCTTTTCTGTCGACGCCGTCTACTTATGAAACAAACAGAGTCTATAATGTCTTGTAAACGATTCGTCATGATGGCCGACAAATGGACAGATAGGCTGGTTTGAAGACTCTTAGTCTCTCGGGAAGCCATCTTTCGAACGATAAGCAATCAACATTCAAACGACAATAAAAATTAATCTAAAACATTCTGATGAGCCATTAAGGTTTCAAGTATTGACAATTCATCTGGAACTTCACATTTAGAATCGCCATTGCTTCGTTTCAATTCCTTTTTCAATATAGGCGCATCATTTCCTTTCGTTTATTTTCTTCTTTTTTTTAGGTCCCTTTATTATTGATTTTCGCTAGAATGAAAATAAAAATAGCGGAAAAAATTGTGGAATTTCCTGTTTTTTAATATTTTGTTTTTCTCTTACTTTTCTATGATTTTTGTTTTTTCTTTCTTTATTTTGCATTGACTTTTCCCTTTCTTTGTCTATTTCCAGTGTTAATATTTTCTTTCTTTCTTTCTTTCTTTTTGAAGGGAGTGCTGTTTTCTTTTTTATTTACCTTTTCTTTCTCATTTAAGGCCTCTTTTATTTTCCATTAATTCTTTATTGTGGCTCTCTTTATGCATCTTTTTGCCTTTTTTTTTGTCGAAACTTTCCTTGATGTTTATCTTTCCCATATCTTTCTATATGCTTTCTCTCTGTAAGCCCCTCCCTGCTTCTTTCTATTTATAGAAATATTTTTACTCTCTATCTACATTCTTTTGCGGACATTTTTATGTTTTGCGATTCTAATGCTGATCATGTGAAATAAGTTTCATTTTTGTAATAGTGCTGATGCTGCCATGGCACGTGACCAAGAGATTAGAACTTTCGCTTTCTTACCATAAGACCCGGGTTCTCGTCATGGTTGATTGGACAGGAAGGTGATGTTATCGGACAGGAAAAGTGCCTGAAAACTATATTACGGGTTC